TCTAGGCAGGACTCGATTGCTTCGACATCGGCCTTATATTGGGCCACCATCTCCTCAGCATCGGTAGAGGTTGTCTCCAGCTTGGACTTCATTGCCTCGTGCTCTCTACCGAGGGCGCCCTATTTTGCGACAGCCGAGCTCAACTATGCTCGGAGATCTTCATTTAGTTGATCCCGCTTGTCAGCTTTCTCCTTCACCACCCGAAGTTGAACCTCTACCGATGTCAGTGTTTCCTGGGCAGTTTCCTTTTTCGAAGCGAGTAGGTCCATATTGCTCTTCCACCATCGGCCATGGCTTGGATCTTGTTCATCTTCTTTCGGAGTTGGTCGACCTGGTCGATCTTCTGTTAGACCTGCGAGGTTTTGTCATTAGCCACTACGGCTAGTTTATTGGTTCTAACTTCAAAGACCTTTACCTTTCAACCAAGTCAGCATGTTCCCGTCTCAGGGTCGATGCTTCCTTCTGAGCCCTATCCAGCTCGGCCTTAAGGTCCTAGACGGTCCTGTCTTGTTGCTCGCTAAGGATCGTGTACATATCCCTCTTTTGAGCCTGCTCCTTGAGCTCGAGCTCGAGTTGATTGAACTCAAAACAGTATCGGAGGAAGCTCTCGTGGTAACGAACAGAGGCCTGTAAAATAATGAAAGTCGTGAGAGATATCTAAACCTAAGTAAAATTCAAAGAAGACGTTCAACGCCTACCGCGCCTCATTGAAAAGACACGCCACGTCCACCCCATTCATTTTTGCCTAGTCCTCCTCGGTCACTAGGTAGATAGAACCTGGGCATCCTCTAGGACAGTAAGAATAACCGATCTCTTATGACCGGGGTCCACACTCGGAGCGGGGAACTGATTAATCAATTTTGGGCTCGAACTTGGCCCACCAGCTTCCGAAGATGTATCCTTCTTCGGGACTTCGAGGTCGCGCAACCCGAAAAAATCTTCTAAAGTGGACAAGTCCAAACCATCAAAGAAAGAATGAAGGGGATCGTCCATGCCATGAACCCCTTCATTGGATTTCTCTTTTCCTGCTTGGGCCTCCTCAAGCATGGACTCGGTATAGGAGGGAGTCCCCATAATTTCTATTACACTGAGCGCTTCCTTCGGAGCGGAGCCGGCGTCCCGGGGGGTCTCATCCCCCGTCCCCGTATCGGCCTCTAGAGTCTAGGAAGGTCGGCCTCATGAATCTCCCCCTCGGTTGCCGATCCACGGGTAATAAAAATGTTGTCTTCTTTCGACTCATCCCTGAGCGGGAGAAGAGAGTCATAATCTAGCACTAGGGAGCTGGTACTCTTCTTGGGCTTGTGAGCCACCCTCTTCTTTGGCTTTACCTCGGGACCCTGAGAGCCTGAAGTTTTTCTTTTCCTCTTCTTCTTTTCCCCCGCGGCAACCCCTGACTGTCCCGTCACAAAGGGATCAACGGACAAAGATATGCCCTCATCCCCTTCCAAAAGCCTAAGCTCGATGGTCTTAGGCAAACCTATAAAAGAGAGAAGAAATGTCAGTATGATGTGAGTTAAGAACACGGTAATAGTTATTCGAAGGAGAACCTTACCATGAGAACAGATCTCACATAGGCCCTTCGAAAGCATGCTCCATGAGAGCTCGAATTATGACATTCATTTGCAGATGCCTTCGATCCACTACTTAAGCCGGGGATCCGCATTTGGAACCCGGGCAACAGCTGCATAACCATAAATATGAATGACGAGAAAGAAAATGAAGAAAAATTGATACTTAAGGAAGGGCTGCACTTACGAGATGCATTCCACTTCTCGGGGAATGGCATAAACTCGGGAGGGATCATATCTTAGGTCTTCACCCGAACGAAGCGCCCTTACTAGCCTTGGTCTCGGTCTTCGTCAATACTCGAGAAGGGGGTCTTGCTGGCCCGACGAGTAAGATTGATTAGTCCCCATCAGAAGATTCGGGGACTGTATAGATAGAACAGGTGGTCGATGGTGAACCAACGAAAGTAACGGAGGAGGATCACGATCCTCCAGAGAGACGGGTGGATTTTTCCAAGGCACACCTCGTATCTTTTGGAAAAATCCAAAACAACCGGGTCTACCGGGCTAAGTGTGAAAGGGTAAGTGTAAACACTTGAATACCCCTCCACGTGGGTAGTAATAGCATCCTTAGGTCCGGGGACTACTATGTCTTTGCCTTCCCATTTATATTCCTCTCAAACCGTGGGAAGGACGTCTTTGGTAATGGAGCATATATACCTCGATGCTCCTTCACCCCGGTCCTATTTGGATGAGGGTTTCTCGACCTTGAAGTCGTCTGCAATTGAACAGTCCCCGGGAATAAACATTTTCAAGAGGGGCTCGGGAGCCGGTTCAGTGGCAGTCGACTCAGTGGCAACCACTTTGGGAGCAGCCGTCTCGAGAACAACAATTTCGGGAGCGATCACCTCAGTACCGGCGGCCGGTTGGGAGGATGAAGAGGCAGCCTGCTGAGGGACTGACTTGGATGTTTTTGCCATTACTACTTGAGAATGTTTGAAGATTTAAAGAAAAAGTATGGGGGTTTGAAGGAACAAGTTTGAAGGCTGAAGAACACAATATGAAGGTTCGAAGAAAATCCAGGTAAGAACCGAAGAACAACTATGAGAATTTGAAGATCAAGGATGAAGATATAAAGGAAGTTGGTGATAGCTAGAGAATTCGAAGGTAGAAACTTGATCGGAAAGTGGAAAAAGAAAAAGGGATAGAATTTTATAGGGGAAGTACGCGACGCTTCACATTCGGAGGCAACTAACCGATGGTTGACATGTGTCCGAAGTCAGAGCGATGCGACTGATGGGACGTTTCGACTTCTTCGTCATTTTGGTTGTAACGTACGGAGGAAGGAATATGAGAACATCTATCGTTTCTCATCATTTCGGCAAACCTACTCTCTGAGAAACGAGGGGACTACATGTATACGGGTAAAATCGAGGATAATTAGCACCCCGATTTCTCGGTGGGGCAAACAAAGCAAGGACGTAACTACAAGGAATCAGAATCGAAGCTAGGAGCCTCTCGTATCAATGCCCGAACAAAACACTTGCCCTCGGAGCTATCGAGACCACGCCTCCCGGATCCAGTTCGAGCTTCAAGACCTCAGAAAGCATTACCAAACGTCCGCGCACTTTTAACAAAGGGCCGTGATATCCGTACCCAACCGGATATCACATCGTGGATCTCGGTTAGTATCGACAGCAGATCAGTGATTAGCGAAGAGGAAGATTTTTACTTTTTTTTGAATTCTACTTAGGGTAAAACTCTCCTACTATATAAAAGGGAAGTTTATTATTCAATGAGGACATTGTAACACGCATATTAAGGCAATATAAACTTTTTTTCTTTGTTTCTAAGCTATTCAAAGGCTCTTATTCTTGTTCATAACTATTCATATATATCTTGGCTACGAATCGAAGGCAGATTAATTGTTAAGCCCACAGCCGAGCCCGGATTAAATACTATTGCTGGTTTGGCTATTTATTCTATGTTTCATTTGCTTATCTAACATTATTAATCACTTGTATCGGATTAACCCGTATATTTTTAAAATCGCGTATAAATTTAATTCTTATCCATTTTAAGGGTGAATATGTATTGCACAATGTTAGAGTCGGTAAATTGCCTTTTCTCTTCGTTTACTTTAGTGGGTCAAATTGAATCTTCTACACAGCTTATCATTTAAATATTCTGTGTAAGTTACTTTATTAACTGAGCATGGTACCAGAAGATGGTCGAATTATTTCCTTTTGTATAAACTTCACTTATTTAGAACTTTGTAGTCAAAACACAACAAATTTTAACTAATGGACAATTTGGTTCTGCAATTTTTGATCGACTTTACACTAAGAGAAGCTTTATTTATGAAAGTTTAATCACGTTATTGACAAGGGGAGAGATCGAATTTAGATGATAAAGTAACACATCATGTCATATATATAGAGGGAGAATAAAGAGTTTTATAAGCAACTGATTTAAAAGGGAAAAGGGTGGGGATTTTAGGTAAGAGTTCCTTTTTAGGTTGACAACGTGACCCTTCTACTAACACATTTTATGCCTATACTGCAATGGACATTTAGTTTTTTTTTTTTTTTTGGCTAAACTTATATTAGAAATTAAGTAACGTAACAATTATAGTTATTACAAGTTAAGACTGTTTGAACGTTCAAGTCTTCAGAACAGTCCTTATTAAAAGCTGATAAAACAAAGAGGGGAGATAAAGTAATATAAGGGATGCCATGGTTGTCGTCCATCTAAGGGTGTGAGGTTCATGCCATGCTTAGCCAAGACATCTGCTACAACGTTAGCTTCTCGGTAGACATGTCTAAGCTCCACGCGACCCAGTTCCAGCATCAATGACCTGCAATCAGAAATAATAAGTAAGTAAAGTTCATTGTCATGTACGATCACGGTGCATAATACATGAGAATCAATTTCTATTTAAATTGGCGAGAGGTTAAAGTCCTTAGCTAACTGTAAGCCTAGCCGAAGTGCTAGTATGTGACTCCACAGATCGAGTGATTAGTGGAGTTGCTTGATCGAAGGCTCCGACGATGTTAAGCTTAACAAAATTATTAGGTGTTGAGTATCATTTAATGTAAATAGTGCACATGTTAGCTTTTAAAATAACGGACTGGTGAAAGAAAGTAAAATTTTATAGGATGATACACAATAGCAGTTACAAACAATTCCTTATAGGGATTACGAAAAAGATTATGAAAATGAACATTCAGTTATGGATAAGAAGATTGTGGCTGGTACTAATAGGATCCACAAAAAATAAAGTTTGGTGGATAATTACAGTCTCCAAATTTCTTAGCCACAAAAGTTAAAGTTAAAGTTTGTAAGGCTAATTCCTCATGTTTGAAATTCATGTAAAAACGTCTAAAGTTGTGCCATATATTTGCTTGAAATTCATGTAAAAATATATTAAATTGTGTCATATTTGCATGAACTTTATGTAAAAATATCTTAGGGTTGCTTGCTTTTAAATTATTTGAAGTTAGGCTTTAGCAAGTCAAACATCATGTACAGAACTTCAGCCATAAGATTTTAAACCCATATATCTAAAGTTGTCTCGAAAGTGGCTAAATTTGCAAATTTTTGTGCACCGTAGATGTTGGTCAAAATTGCGTATATGTCCACTTCTCATTTCCCAATTGCAAAGCGGGAATTCAACTCAAAAAACTCAGTATCCACAGAGATCAACAGTAGCATCCTCCAACAATGAGAGGCGCCGGACGACGACGTACGAACTCTGTAGCACCGGATTGGCGACATCCACCGCCGACTCCGACCGCCAAGATGGCAAACGACCCAAGGCAATTTGTCGCCACCGGCGGCCGTGATTCCGACGCAAGCTTCGCCAGTAGTCGGCCGTCATCTGTCGGTGTAAACCCCCGGTCCGCCGCTATCCCTATCTCCGACCGCTCCTATCAACTCAACGCTATCCGTACGATCAACGCTTACCTTTCCTCTCACTCTCTCCCTTTTACTCTCAAACCCCCTCTCCCTTCTGCTAAAGATATCACCGAAACCCTAAAATTTATCCTCTCTCGCTTTGGACTTAACCCGTCAGAATCACAAAAACTCGACGATGATCTCCAAACCCTACTGAAAAGCCTAAACTGCCCCGTAAAAGTGAACAAATCTGCATTACGTGCCCCTGGGACGCCTCATTCTTGGCCTAGTCTACTTGCAGCGATTCACTGGCTTGTTCAGCTCGGTAAATTTGATGATCACCGGTTGAGTACCCGAGCTCAACAGCTTGCTTCGGAGAATAAGGTGTTTAGGTATACTGTTGAGAATTATTCTCATTACATTAGGGGAGAAGATAAAGAAGCAGATGACTTGGATAGTCAATTTATGCTGGAGTTGGAACAAGAAAAGGCCCGATTGGTTGCGGATGTGAATGCATCAGAGGAGAATTTGAAGGCACAAGAGGCAAAGTTGGAGGCGTTGAAGAATGGGCCGTCGGAGAGAGAGTTGTTGGAGAATGAAAAGAGTGCGTTGGAGGAAGATGTCAAGAAGTTTCATTCTATCATTGAACAGTTACAAGGGCGTATAACTACGGTGGAGAGGTCGTTGGAGGAGCAAGTGAAAGGGTTGGAGACTAAGGTTGCTGAGAAGGAGAGCATTTATGCGGAGAACGAGGAGTTGAAGAAGAAGGTGGAGGAGCAAGGGATTAATCCCAGGGATGCAGATAGGATGAAGAGGGAGTTGCATGCTTTGGAAAGGGATGTTGCAGATATTGAGAACCAGAGGATAGAATGGGAGGAGAAGGGTTGGGACCTCGACTCTGCCATTGGGAACATGTACAAGAAGCTTGAGGAGCTAATGATTGAGTGCAACCAATCTATCAGGAGGTTTTCATACTCTCTCCTGTTGTTTATTGTTGTTAGAGAAAGCATTGACTTAATTTACATTTGACAGAATGAAATTAAAACTTTTAGTAATCTAAGGTTTATTATTCTTTGGGCATGGATTTATTTTACTACTATGGCTAGTTTAGTTGGACTAAATGGAGCTCTAAGAGTATGAGTAAGTGTTAATAGTGGAAGTGTCCATTGCAACATGTTTAGCGTTCGATTGCTTCCATATTGGATTCTCAGCAGATAATTTAGGTGACTGATAAATGGATTGCAGTTTGCTTACTGTGATGTATGATAATCACAACTTAGCCCGTGTACTGTTTCCACCAACTTTCAGTTGAGACATGGATGAGGAACATTATGCTAGTCAGAAGCAGTGTTATCAAAGGGTCGCTTAAAGTGCGCTTAAGCCCTGAAGCGAGGCTTGAAACACGTTGAGCGCTTCGCCGTGTTTAGGAGGCGCTTCAGTGTTGTCATCAAGGCTCTAAGGCATACTTTTTCTTGCCAATGAGCGTAATCCTTGAGAGGCGACACTAAACAATTGATATTTCACTTTATAGTAAATTTTCTTCAATTTCTTTGTCTATATATTTTGTATTCATGCTTATAGATATTAGTATTGGACTACACAAAATATTTGTAGCTTTTCTCCATTTGCACTTTCTTCATTGAAGCCCGCGCTTTATCCGCTTTTTGCGCTTTATCCGCCAAAAGACTTTAGAGCTTTTTTGCATTTTTCGCCTTTGATAACACTGGTCAGAAGGCAATAAGGCTAATGGTTCTCGAATTTGATTTTTCCAATCACTCTTGCTAGAAATTAAGGCTGCATCATGCCTGATTGGAAATGCTGTGTTGGACTTGAATTTCATAATTACATCAAATACCCTGGTCTTTCATGAAGAATATCCTTTATAGCATATTCACATTTGATATCTTATATATTTTGTTGTTGGATTATGCGGCAATTATTGATGGTATTTTCTGTTGTTTTCTTGTTTTGTGTAGCTTCATCCAGATATGCTTACTTCTAATCCATTATTATGCCATTATTTAGAGAAATTAAGATCCTTGTTTCTCTTGTATAGCCACCTGAATTTGTCAGATTACCCTAGTTTTACTTGTGAAACAGATTTGAATTGTGGAAAGTTCAGGTGCATCATCTATTCTATTTAATTGCATCACTCTCTTTGGCCAATTTCATGGACCAAATATCCAGTACTTGTGAAAAAAGTTTAATGAGAGTGCCTATATGCAACAATTCGTCTCTCAGATTACCTGTGCGTTCTTTTTTGATTTTGCACCGGGTGTCCGAGTCTCTTTGAGCCCCGACTAATCCCGGGGGTGCACAGGCCCTCGGCAAGGAGTTTCCCGCAAGTGCACCACGGTTAATTCAGGTTTTACCCAGTCCGATGACCCTCAGAAATTGTTTGCACCCAGTAGGTTTCGAACTTGAGACCTTGAAAGGGAGCAAACCCCAAGGCTCAAGTCAATTGCCACCAGGCCAACCCCTGAGGGTTTACCTGTGCATTCTTGTTGCTGGTTGAAAAATTCTTTCCTCTTTTTTTTTACCCATAAGTTATACTACTTCCTTTGTATCTTTTTAAATGACATGGTTTAGTTCCTTTTTTTTTTTTATGAAATAAGATTATTCATTGCAAGGCATCAAGAAGATGCAAATTACAAAGAGGATAAGTGCTAGGTCCATTACAACAAAAAGCTTACTTTGCACAGGGAGCTAGCCACTAGACAAAAGTAGAAAGTAGCTAAGTTAGAGCAATTGAGCCAATGAAATCTACCAGGGGAGCTACATTATTTACAGGGTTTAGAGAGTTCCAACTAAATAGGTACACAAGGCATTTAGCTTTGAGAGTATGGATAGGAGTTGAAATGCCATTAAAACATCTGTGATTCCTTTCTTGCCAAAGGCACCAAAATATGCTTGCTGGGATCATCTTCCAGAGCTTCTTGATGGTTCTGTCTAACTTTCCAACTGCTCCAACCCTCCACTGCCTCCCTGATATCCTGTGGTTGTGTCTAGCTTATACCCAGTATAGAGAGAAACATATACCACATGTCTGCTGTCACTGGACAATGCAAAAATAGGTGATTGATTGATTCAGAGTTTTGCTGACACAGGTAGCATCTATTGACCAGCTGAAAACTCCTTTTACAGAGATTGTCTTGGGTGAGGCAAGCTTCTTTGAGTGCAGTCCAAGTGAAGCAGATAACTTTTGTAGGAAGCTTTGTCCTCCAAATAAGCTTCCAAGGCCGGGAGTCAATGATTCCATTGTGCTGGCACATGCGCCTGTAGCCTGACTTCACTGTATATGGGCTTGTACCACACCCTATCCAACTAAGCCTGTCTTGGGTCTGCTCATTTACGGTAAAGTTCCCTAATCTACCAAGCAGAACAAATAGACTATCCAACTCCCAGTCATGCATGTTCCTTCTTAAAAGTGGAGCCCAAGAGTTTCCTGATCTATTTTGACTTACTGTGGAGTTGGGGTCACTAGCAATCTGGAATAGCAGTGGAAAACTCTTTCAAGGGCCAGTTGTCTAACCAATTATCTTCCCAGAATCTTACATGCAACCCATTCCCAATCTTGAAAGAAATATTCTGAGAAAATTCTTCCCAAAGGTTACTGATGTATTTCCATGGCCCAACACCATGGGGGGATCTACTGAGTTTGGTACACCAGTGGCTCTGTTGACCATGCTTGGCTATCACCACCTTCCACAGGTTGGTGTCTTTCTCACCAAATCTCCCTAGCCATTTCATTAGCATGCTTTTATTGTGCTTTGCTAGGTCTTTAATTCCAAGTCCACCAAGGTCTTTAGGTTGAGTCACTTTGGCCCATCTAACCAGGTGAAACTTATGTCCCTCACTGTTCCCCTTCCAGAGAAAGTTCTTCCTGAGTTTGTCCAGCTGCTTGAGCACTTTGCTGGGCATAGGATATAATGACATGAAATAGGTTGGGATACTGTCCATTACACTGCTAATCAAAATTAGCCTGCCACCCATGGAGAGATACTGCATCTGCCATGTCGCCAATCTCTTCTCTACCTTCTCTAACACCCCATTCCACACTTCAGAGGATTTGAATTTGGCTCCCAATGGTAGGCCAAGGTATGTGGCAGGCAAAGAGCCAATACCACAACATAGAATAGCAGCTATAGCCTCTGAGTCGGGAGCTTCATTAACTGGGTATATTATGCTCTTTGCCATGTTGATGTGAAGTCCTGATATAGCTTCAAAAATGAGCAGAGTTAGATTAAGATATTGAACCTGAGATTTTTCAACACCACAGAAAACTAATGTGCCATCTGCATAGAGCAAATGTGAGACTGAGATTGGATTCCCTTGAGGTCTTCCAACACTAAAACCATCTAACCAAAGCAACTGCTTTGCTTTGTCCAACATCTTGCTAAGACCCTCCATAGCTAGGATGAACAAGAATGGGGACAAGGGGTCGCCATGCCTTAAACCCTTTTGGGGTGAGAAGAATCCTACTGGGCTCCTATTTATGAGAATTGAATATTTGACTGTAGTCAAGTTGTATTTAATCCACCTGATCCACCTGCTACCAAGTCTAAGAGTAAAACCTTTGAATTGATTATTATATTGAATTTCGTAAAAAGAGTTCACAATGTGAAAGTAGACAACTGGTTGAAAAGGCGTCACATTGAATATCTGAATTTGAACTGTTGGAGGGAAAATTCTACAATTTTATGATATAGATCATAATTTGGGAGGGGTTGAGATTGAAAATATGAAGCTAGGTCAATCAAAGTGAGATGAGCAAGTATATTTGTGTATGTTTAATCTGGTTTAAAGTAGAACTTCCTTCTATTTGTTGCCCGTCATATTTTCCTTGATGACTCTGATTACGGATGATCTCATTTGAAATTTCAGGTTAAAGCTAGGAAATGAATTTCAGTATAAATTGAATGCCCAAGGATCCTCACAAGCAGAGGTCTTAGGTATAGACTACAAAACAACATTAAAACCCATGCTCACATCATTTCAAGATGAGATGAAGAATAGTTCCATGATGAAAATGGAAGAGTTGATAACTCTCCAGCAACAATCAGTTGAGAAGGCTTCCAAAATAGAGTCGAAGAGGAATCGTCTAACTACTCTTCAGGGTCACATTGACAATGTAAGTGTATCTTTGCTTCAGCTATGGAGTACTAGTGTTTCTTTTCCTCTTGTACACATGTATGTGTCTTTGCGTAGCTGAACTATTTTGGCCTTTCGGCGATTGGATTTGAAAAATAACAAGGCACTGTTACCATTATTGACAAATTTAAATGACATAAGGTCTATCAGCTTGAAAGAGTTCTTTTATTGATCTGTTTGGGATGTGCAACGATGACTTTTGAGGCTTTGTTTTAGTTTATAGATCCATTCACATGAACTTATCAGGTTGAGACACCAATAGATTTTGTTTTCAAATAAACACAAGGCTAGTAATTTAGAAGGTTTCTATCAATGCTATAGTTATGGCATTTTAACAGCCTTGAAGCCTAACATGACTATTTCCAAATCGTTTTATGATTGATTTGTCAGCTGGAAGCGCAGTTGGACTTATTAAAGAAGGAAAAACAGGACTTCATATCTAGATGTGCAGCAGAAGCCAGAAGGATGGCTGAGGAAGTTGAAACAGAGACTCGAAAGTCAGATCTGGTTGAAAGAGAGGCAGCGGATTTTCTGAAAGTAAGGCTATATGCAATTCAGACAAGATTTATATTGATATGCATAACTTTACAAATGTCCTCTGACGGATGTGAACTTGTGGGGTTTTCTTATCTTAGATGTATAATCCTGATTCTGATTGGCTTATCTTTACTTTCAAAGGCATCAAATGCCAAATTGCAGGAAATAATTGCACAAACTGAGGAAGAGGTGCAGACTTGTGCTCTTGAACTCTTTGCTGTTGTTGATACAGTTTCAAAATATAAAGAGTTTGTTACATCAAAAATTGCCACGATGAAGAATGCTCTTGCAGAAACTGTGGGGGCTGTAGCAGATATGCACAAAGCCGGTTTGCCTGGGTCTGTTGCAAGCCGCTGATATTAAACCTCTTGTAACAATTACAATTATCTCTTAATTATCTTATGTGTCATAGTTACTAATATTTTGTCAAATATAAATATTTAGGTGTAAAGTGTAAACACACGGTGCAGGTAAGTATTTACCATCTTTACTAGCACTCTTGGTCTATGGTTTTGCAATGGTCTACTCGCTTCCCTGATACATTTGACCAATATCAAGATTGTCTGTGATCCTCTTTTTGGGATTGGGAATTTTATCGAACATTGTTGGAGTTGATGTGTAAACAAGGAGTGTTGATTGCATAAATAGTTCTATGCTTACAAGATCTAGAAGCATGTGTTCCTTGGTCAGGTCTTAGAAGGGTGAAGCAATTTATTAGACTATTGCCGATAAAATCTCATCCTTTAACCACTGGCTTTACTTTTCTTTTCTGCCAGCCGGTGAGGAGACTAAGATACAATTGACATCGATGTTTTCCCCTACAAGATTCTACTAGCACAAATTTTAAATTGGAGTAAACTTAAGGTTTCTGGCTTTAAGAGCAAAGTTATTTAGGATTAAATGAAAAGTTAAAAATTAAAAAGTTTTTAAATATAAAACGATGTAATTTTATTCAACATGTTAAAATGAAAATGGCGTCAAATAAAATGAAATAGGTGGAGCTCGTTGTTACCGTAGCTTGAAATGGAAGGGTTATGTAGGTAAGACCTTGTTAAATTTTAATTTCCTCACTCAAACCAAGTTGGCGAAAGAACAAAACAATGGAAATTGTAGGAATCACTGATGTGCAAAAACTGAACCAGCTAGATATTTTCTTCTAAAACTCTGGAGGAAATGACCTTCTGGATGGAAATGTGTGACACTCTATGATACTGTTTCTAAATTCTGGAGCTCAATCGTCTTGACAGCAAATTCTATAAAATTTTAATTTCAATTGAATATCCACTTTTGGGGGTACAATTGGTAACTAAATTGCAAAAGGTAAAGCACGATCTATGTTCTTTTTTTATTTTCGTTAATGAGTGTGAGTACTCATCATATATATATATATATATATATGTATTGCAACGTTTTCTCAAGGTGAGAGATAACAAATTACATGCATCCAGAGAGGTTAGGTTATCTCAGGTAAATTATCACAATCCGATCATTTTTCTCAGTAAAGTTTAGAGAGAAAGGCAAAGCGGACGAATAGAAGAGTTGAAAAGCTACTCATAGGCGTGAGGCCAGATCCCGTATAGAAAGAAAGCTATCCATCCTATCCTCATTCTAATAAGAAACAAAAACAAGAAGCAATATCCTCTCGTTACTTCTGTGTATGAAATCCTAAAACCCACACAAAACAAACACTCCCGGACCAAAGAAACTAAGCACACATGTTTGTTCTCTATTACTCTTACTTTTAGACCATATCCAGCAAACAACTCCATGCTGAAACTCAACCCTTTGACAATTAATCTTGACATAGACCACAAATAAAACATCCAAATATAGGTGTCTCGGAAAAGCAGCTCAGTTTTCTTTTTCTTGGCCATAAATGTACCAATAAGACACTGAGCTAGTACAAAAATTGGAAGGTTTAATATAAATAAGGGTAATTCCTCAAAACCAAAATCGGAAGGACAACACATATACTAACTACCACAAACGCCAAACAAAAGGGAAATAACAGTTAAACACAAACTAAACCTTTAAAAGAGATAAGAGATTCATATCTTCTGCTGATCAATCTGTGTACTACCATTACCTGCTTCAACTTTTACAATTTCATCACTCCTCTGGTTATTATCATCCACGTCAAGCACATCATCCATCATATCGTCCTCTGCAACATTGATATCCTCAACATCCTCATCTTCATTGTTGCTAACACCAGGGATCTTTCTAGTCTTGGGTCCACGCTCAAGTCTATGACTCTCTAGCTCCTTGTCNCCCCCCCGCGTCAAACACCTGTGCATTCCCAGAGGAATTCACGCTAAAGCTTCAAGATCACTATATTCCTGTATTCACACAAACATAATTGTCTGCCACCTCAACAAGGTCATGTGATGTGTGCAACTTTGGCATTAGAATGATTTTGCTGTGTACAATTTCACAAGTGAATTTTCTATAATGCAACCAACAATGTGCAGGGTGATATTTACCTGATCTTTTTTCTGCTCAACTAAGTTTGGATCTTCTTCCAATGGTTTGGCAAAAGAATAAAAGATCGGAGGCTCGGCTTTGGTCCTGAAAACATCAAGCCAAAACGATATAAAGAGAAGTTATGAACTGTTACCAGGATAGATAATTGATCACCCTACACAGCTGCATGTACGATTTTTGCAGTCATTTAGCAGCTTCAACATTCTGTACATGAACAGAAACTTATCTTCGCGTCAATAAAATTGTGAATATGGACATTTTGGACCAAAATAAGAAATAACCTGCAAAATGAAAACCCAAGAATTAACACGAAAAATTTACTGGTCACAGCATCTAAAATAGTGCAGATGAGGACACAGCCGAATAAGAGAGGAGGCCACCCTTAAAATATTTCTAATAAAGTTTAACTCCATGGTGATCTCAAAAATTTAAGGGGGTCGCATAAAAAAGGAATGCATCCCATACAGGTGCTTTCTCAGGCACGGCATCAACAAGCTTCATTGCTGGATGCATCTATATTTGAGATTTGATGTAGCCGACGCAACATACCTTATAAAATTGGCTAGTTTTTTATGGTGCTCACTCCACCGAAGAAACAGCAATTCCAACCTCTTTTCCTCAGCTTTAGCAGCAAGACGTGCTCGAAGAGTCTTCACATTGACAAGTAAAGAAAACAGGTGCAAGTTATGTTTCTCATCTAAGAATTTACCACAAAAGTTGATTGCAAGAATTGCTGGAAATGTTAAAACTGAGACACACCAGATCTCTTTTCAGCTTTTCATCACGCTGCTCACGCTCTTGTTGTCTTAACCTCTCACTTTCTTCACGCGCCCTTTGCTCAGCCTGGCATTATTTTGTGTCAAAGTACCTCGAGTAAGGTTTATGATCATTATAAAAACTGTTTCTTCCTCCGTTCTTCGAACTTTATGGAGGGAGGGGAAAAAGTAGTAGGTGTGGATTGTAAGAGAAAGCATGCATTCGTAGGATAATGGGCGGTAGAAGATTCAGTGTGTATTGAAGAGAAAACATGCACCCGTAAACTCATTATCATGTATCGATGCAGTCAACGTAGTGATGATAAAAACTACATGTCAAAGCAAAATATATCATACACCAGAGCCCTCATCCACACGGACACATAAGTATCCTAATTAAGATATATTTTTTTCAATGAGTACAGTGTCCTACTTAAGATATTTTTAGATGTCTCAAGGATCTTGGGAATTCATAAGGATTTTTAGGTTCAAATATATTAAAAAACCAAATTCATCGGGATAATCCTTGAATGACAAAGTTCAAAGATTACTAAAGTGAGAACCACTATAAAAAGAATGTTAGAATCAATTTAATCAAAAGGTTAATCCTCGTACATTCATAGGTAAACTCAATTTCCCCGGCTACTCAATATTCAAATTTGAACTCAAGCCCCCACCAAACTAGTACCAACAAATAATATCTACACTCAAAAACATATAATTTCATTATCCCAGCCAGTACCTTAATTTTTCACCCTCCAATAAAGTATACAACAACTACTACACCTCAATCCCAAACTCAAGTCAGGGTCGGCCATAGAATCCTCAATGAATATGTCATTCCATTTAAGCTCATCTCAGGCCAATATTATACAGAAATAAAAATAGAAACAAAAAATACATTCTCAAATAAAGTTATATTATATGTTAGAAAATAAAACATTCAAGTAGAGTCAGTAGAAAGATGATAAGATCAGAGTACTCACCCTTTTCAAAGAATCTGACCTCCGCATGTAAGCCTCGCTCCCTGAAAGCTGCATGTCTTCTTTTCGGAACTTCTGAAAGAATTCCATGCATATACAAATTCGAGAAAAGGTAGGTAAGCCAAGTGTCGCCACGCTAAACAGAATTAAGATTGTACAGCTCAAGTACTGAGGGTGTTAAATTGAGAATTGTCATATCCAGGAGATATTATCAAACTGATAAATTTCGAACAAAAGATGCTTAATCATAAATTATTGAGTCCCTTCTCTGTATTGATCTTGAAAAATCTTCTCCCTTTCTTTTACTTAAGTAGAAATCGAGTTTGGGTGATGAGTCCCTTCAACTTCGAGTTGGTCTGTAGCTACCAATTCAAGTTTAAGTGATAATATCCGGGAGATTTATAAGTAATAACACCATACCTCTACCTCTTTCCAGTCACTGAGAATAGAATTTTCTTTTCCTGTATGTGGTGCAAGGTTCGCGTACACACTACACTCCCGAGACTCCACTACGTAGTATTACACTGAGTTTGTTGTTGTATGTGGTGCAAGAAACACTTTCTTGTGCAATTATTAACAACTTCCCTGAGGGAAGAATTGCAAAACATTCACTACTCCAACGTCGCTTCAACAATATTATGTGGATAACTTATTCTTCAACTTAAGAAATTAAGCACAAACAATATCCCCAGGAAATGGCATTTATAGCAGTTCGACTATTAAAGGAACCAAATAGGCACATTAGAGCAAGTTGTAGGTTCAAAATACATAACCATGAAAAAGGAACTTAGTACTCACCTCCAAGGTCCCCAACAGCTGTCCCAACATTCTCTTATTCCTACTAACCAATTTAGGATCCTCGTTTTTTGGCAACACTCTCGGCACAGGTTCCGGTGGAGGAAAATCAGGATCCTACACACATTATTTAAAGCGAATGAAATTCAATGTCTTCAATGTGCAGAAACACACCATTGTCTATAAGNAAATTCAATGTCTTCAATGTCCAGAAACACACCATTGTCTATAAGAAGAAGAATAAAGGACTAACAAAAAGAATACATGGCCCCCAAAAAGGTGTCCATCCATGTTTACCATTTTTGAGGGTCTTTGATTGCCATCCCTCCGAAGCCAATTGGATGGCTTTCTCTCATTCTGGCTGACATGTGCCTCCCTTGAACTTCCCTCCTCCACAGCTGAATCTTCCTTATTCGCATCCATTGGAGCTCCAGAGACATCGTCAGCAATCTCCCCCTCTTCAATCTGAATTCAAAAATCAATCCAATAAAACAAAAGATCTTGTTTTTCTAGTTGAAACAAAGCCAATAACAACAACCACAACAACATAACCTTAATCCCACAAAAATTGCAATTCGGCTATAAATTTTCCATATTTATCCCGCTCATTTCCATTCAACACGGTTAATAACTTGTTTTAAGAGCAAATTAGTAATTTTTGTGGAGTATTATCGAATATTCAGTTTTCACCTTCACAACAGCTGAAGAAATACGCCTTTTAGGTGCTGGCTGATCCTCTGCATCATTCCTCTCCGCCTAAATAACCAATTAGCCAAAAACACCAAACTCAATAAACAAAAACGATGTAGTTAACAGGAAGCTTCATCTCAAAGGATATGAGGAGAGAACTTACAGGTCTAACAAGGCCACGTTGGCGGCCGCCGTTGGCAACAAAACTCCGAGGACCACCGCCACCGCCGCCACCAGAGAATCCACCGCGGCGAATACCTCTTGGATCCTTAAGCCGCTCAGTTATCTAGTCAAGAGATAGTATAGTGGTTACAAAAAGGGGGGGAAAACCTAGAAATCCAGCAAACAGAAAGAGATTGAATAAACAGAGAGAAATAGAGAGAAAACCTCGTGTTGTTGACGGTTGAGTTCAAAGAGTTCTTTGCGGAGCTCTTCCTCCGTCTTCTCCACTACGGCGCTCGCCATTATTTAGGGGTTTCTGCTTCTTCACTGTCTTTTCTTCTCCTTTAACCAGCGAACGATAGAGCCAGTAGAAGTCTTTAATTAATACTCATTAAAAGTACCCTCTTTTTTATCAACAGTTCTTTTCTAAAAAGTACAAAAAAAAATACAAAAAAATTTATGTTTGACTAATAAATTTAAAAAATATTTTTGAATAATAATTTGTGTTTGGCCAAACTTTTTAAAAAATTCTTTTAAGTGTCAATCACAAATAAGGATATGGAAAGATTTATTTAATAATTAATATTATATAAGTAGATAAATAATTATAAATATTTATTATTAAAGATAATAATTAAATTTTTTATTTTATTTAAATAAATATAAAAATAAAATTGAAAATAACTTTATTCTTTCAAGATAATTTAAATATATCAAAAAAGCATTCAATAAATATGAAAGTTCATCCCAAAAGTCATTTTATATTACTTAATAGTTTAAACTAAGTAAGGTTATTTTGGTATATATAATATTTTGTAAATGGTATTTTTGCTAGTAAGAAAAGTCAAAACTGTTTCTGCTTCTAAGGAGAAATTATTTTTTTTCACTTCTTCAAAATGCTTTTGCTTCTAGCCAAAAATACTTTTTTTTTCCCTAAAAAAGTTTGGCCAAATATCTCAAATTGAGAAAACAATAATTTTGGCTTGGGAAGAAGCTTGACCAAACATGCTATAAGTAACTCGTGAACCGCCCCGGTTCGGTTTTGTTAGATTCTTTTTTCCATTCAGGAAAATCATACAGAATAAAAAAAAAATACTCCTATCAAGATAACTATTTGACACTCTAAAAAGAACTTTTACATTATTAAACAGCTAGTTAAATATGATTAATTACACGTAATTATTAATTTTAAGTAAAATTATTAACATAAAAAATAAAAAGTAACTTAATACAGCTGATTAAAATATTATGCATATAAGATCTTTTCTATTATCAATATGTTAAATTTAAGAATATAAAAATATATGAAGAGAACTCCAAAGTAAAGAAAAAGTTTTCTCGGTAATGAAATTAGAAAAATAGAGTATCCCAATGGTAGACTGTGTTAATATCGGAAAATATAAGTTTACAAGTCATTGTCAACTGTTTTAATATCGTGAAGTATCTTTAATTTTAACTAATAGAACGTGAATTTGAGTAACTATTTGCGTTAGGAATTGTCAACTGTTTTATGTTCCTTCTCTAAAAATACTAGATGGTTGGTGCCCGTGCACAGCACGGGCATAAGCAATACATCCACAATATTCTTGTACCAAAAATATTTGATAATGAAAAGATAATTTCTTACTTGTTTCATTTGAGAAACAAAGTTGTCCAAAATGTGAAATATACATCTGCAACAGTACATTCTTATGCCTACTTTCATGAGAAAGTAGAAGAGGATGCATTTCTTGTAGAAGTAAATCACCCCATACACCTTTGGTGCTGTAATTCTTCTTTTTTCAGTAGTATTGCAGCAATATTCAGCAAAGTATCAGAACCTGCTTACACGTCCAATTCCTAAATTTCAGATTCAATTTGAAAAAGAAGACGAAATAGATGTTAAGCCAGTATGAGTACCAACTCATTATGTTTCAAATAAAGAAAAAGATATACTACAAAAACTGATTGCTAGCGACCGAAGGAGAGACGTGCACATACTTTTGTATTTGCTAAAAGCTGAATACACATCAATTATTAGAATCCATTTACTTAAGAGTAGATAGATTCTTGTGATTCAGTTTTCAATGAACTCTACTTCAGATGCAGAAAATAAGAATCGAATGGCAGAAAAGTATGTGCAAATTCCAGAAAAATCCACCCAAAAGAAGTGCTGAAACTACTGAGTGCAGAAGGCATGAATAAGAATGTGCAGAATGCAGAAAGATAATGCAGAAACTGAAAAGTGTGAACAATGTAGGAAATCTGCAATATGCAAAAAGAAGATGGTGCATAAACTGGAAAAATAAGTGCAAAATTATGCAGAAAATATGGAGCAAAAACTGAAAATTAATACAGAATACAGGGTAAAAATGCAGAAAACCAAGGGAAAAAAGAGAGCAATATCTGAATTTTTACTGGAAGCTAAAATTGATTGGGGTTAATAGAATGGAAAAAGCTATGCTTGGAGAGTCTACTGGATTTTGCATTGATGGATACTTTTTCTGCTCCTCTTTCCCCAACTGATACTTGCTATGAAGTTAAGATCATATTCTACATATAAGACTCTCTATTAGAAAAAGTCTACACTAATATTTAGATAATAAGTTCTTGTTCTTTTACATGAAGCCACTGCCAACCACGGGTTCTATCAACACATAAGTTATGTTAAGTTAAGGCATAAGGAATACCAACTAACATAAAGTATCAATAATATCATGGTGCTTTCCTAAGGCATGCACTCCAAAACTGCAACAGGCAAAGGTCAATCCAACATAAGCTCTGCCAGAAATTTTTTAATATTGATACAAGATCACCTCATTCTTCACCATCTAAATCAAAACACTGGAAAATTAAACTATCGATTTCCTTCAACATTTTTCAAGGGAGTCATATAAAATGTGCAGATGAAATAGATCAGCTCTAGCACTCTTTATTAATTCTTCGAATCGGGGAATCTAATGAAACACAACTTTTGTGGGAGAATGCATGAAGTGTCGGCATCCATTTTTTACCACAACCAACCGGCAACCCAGTATTTTCCTTTAAGCTCTCACATTTTTTGTTTTATGTATCCACACCATTTCATAAGACACATGGAAAGCCAGTAGTAAACAACTTTTGAAATTTTCAGAGGATTTCAAGAAAATACAAACTGACCTTGAGAAATGCTTTAGTAGAGTTTTTACTTTTTACAAATATAAGATTCGGCAAAATAGGTTACATTATCCTGCCCTTAGTGGAAAAGTATTTTTCTCCCATTTCCTGATCTTAATGATACATATTAACACGTCAAAAGCTGCATCATATTCGCACATTGTCAAGCTAAAACACAAGTTGGAAGCAATAATCTACAGCCAGTATATCACTTTTAACTGTATTGACATCATTTTTAAGTATATGAACACGGAATGTTAATGGATGTGAATACTAACTAAACCAAATGCAATTAATTTCTGCAATTTGGAGATAAATGTCATTAGTAAGATAAAGGGAGAGATTTTGATGGTGCTTTTATAATGTCCTTGAACACACTGATGTAGATGATTTTGATTTTCAAGGATTTTACTGTCTGGAGGAGTGGCATGATAGTTTCACAGACACTTAGGCGGGGAGAAAAGAACTGAAAACCTTACCCAATTTATGTCAAGAACTCTTCTAAGTCATATTCAAGTCACTTCTTTTGCTCCAATGCTGGGATTTAGCTGCAAAAACAGAATAAATTCCCAGCCCTTCTTAGCTAAATTATAAGGCTAACAATTGCTTATTACCTTTCAGTAACTCAAATATGTGTACCGCATAAATAAGGCAAGACTTTTATGTAAGCAAGCTAGATTATACAGTAGCTTTAAAGTGAACTCCACAAAAGGATCTGACAGCACATACATCACCTAATGAACAGATTCAAGAAATAAGCAATCTCTATAATGTTCCCTTAGAGTAATCAAGATAAGTGATAATGTATAGATGTTAAAGCTAAACTATGCAATTTAGTATCTAGATTACCCAGAGCTTATTTATTCAAACCATAAATTAGCAGCCTGACAACTTCTCAAACTCATATGCTCATTCTGCAATTATAGGCTACATCAAACAATTGTAAGCCATGATCAATATAGAGAAGGATTCTTAGGGAATACGAAGAGAGATATCGAAGACAGAAATCTCTGCTGCTAGCTCACTCATAAAAAGAAATCCTTGCTTCAACACAAAAATATATTTAACTGTAGCTAATGAAATGCCTAGCTATATGAAGCATGATAAACACCGTCGTTGCTATTGTGATTTCTTATTTCATAGTGGAAACTCTAAAACAGATGTAAGTTTAATATGTTCCGGCTTCCTAGAAAAGCCCTTGAGTTCTCGCTTGTATAGAATATTTTAGCACTTCTAAAGCCATCGATGACAGCTTTACGAACCCAAGAACAAACATAACCTCAGTTACCGAAGCCTAAACAAAAATGTCTACATGACCTCATTCTCAACGAAAATAAGCGGAGATATGTAGTCCTCAATGATCTTTTGGCTCGATTAAATTTCATACGCTGATTCAAGTGCTTTGACAGCATGCATCTGTGCTATGATATCCCTATAATTTGACAAATCATAGTATAAATTGCTCCATCAATGAAAAATGTGCAGCTTAGTTCCTCAGCAGTACCAATAAATTTAGAAGAGGCACTTCTTAACACATCAATTTCAAGCTTCAGAAACATATGTGAATTATCATTTAACTTGGAACATTACTACAAGGTAAGCACGAGTAAGGTACTTTGTTGCTCGCTATTTAAATTATTAACATACAGTAAGTGACGACATCAATAGCTTAAATGATTTTGTCTCTAATTTTCTCCACTCCCTTTCACCTTATATTCCCCTTGTTTGCACATAAATAAGATTAAATGAGATGTTTTATTATTATGAAAGATAATCAAATTCCCACTATAACGATATTAAAGTAACTACTGCATCTGATTTCACATTAACTTTCATCTGTCAAATAGCTTCTTTTTCTTTTTTTCTTTTCCTAGGAGTGCGACCCTTGCTAAGACCCTGCATGAAAGTGGGATGATTCGTGCATTGGGCTGCCCTTATTTCCTTTTTGCTTTGTAATACTCATACTGTTTGTATTGGGTAGATAAGTACCTTTTCGTATTTTAAGTGAAGACAAGCACATTCAAGTTAGTTTGATCTATGTATGAATACTTTTTTCCAATCAAAAGTCAAAACTAAAATAAGTTAATTGAACCTTGGTAGAAATGAAAATGTATATAAAACTTACTCCCCCAACATCATCTAGTTCAGCATATCGAACATTAACTTTAAGGAGGCAATAGCCAAATTCAATCTAATAATACATATTAAACAATCAATATGTGTGGCAGCTAAAGTCTAATTCATAACTGTGACAATTAGCAAAATTACCTCAGTAAATTTCAGGATTTCTCTAAATCCATGATCATTTAGTTTCTTTTTGTTATCGTGGCGAATTGCTTCAAACTCAGCTAAAGCTGCTTAAGTTTGAAGATCCTTTTTCCATGACCTTCAATCCTGTAAAAGCCAAACCAGTCTAAATAACATCACATACATATTCCATTTCAACCATGATCTAGTGATCTAATAGTCAAGGCTAACAAAATTGCAGGCAACACAAACTAAATCTTTCTTAGGAAACGAGAATATTGCTTAGGATCAAAGGCGAAAAGCTCTAAAAGCACTCTAGGTCTATTCGGGTTTTAATCGCGAATCACAATTAAGTGTGGGCTTTAGTTTAAAAGAAAAAGCGCAATGAAGGGAAAATTAAAAATATATATAGTTTAAGAAAAAAGTAACAAATTCATTCATAATATTTTTCTTAACAACTAATACACTTAATTTGCCAATTATATTGTTGTTCAGTACCCATAGATTCAAGATAGAACTCATGGGCAATGGTTGCGCAAGCCTTGGTGCCATGCCTACATTATGAAGCGCCCTCCGCGAGTTTTTCTGAGTTTCAAGGTTTAAGCGCGCCTTTGACAACATAACCAACAATGTGTCATTTGTAGTAAAAGATGATTGATAAATTCCATATGTGTTAGGTTAATGGTCAACCCTTTATGATTAAAGCACGCTCTCGGGGTTAATTTCACTGATGGTCATTGAACTATCTTTCAATTTCACTAAAGTCATATAATTATTTTTTGTCACTTAAAAGTAACTAAACTTTATCATTGTCACTTAAAAGTCATTTTGCCTCAAACCCCTACCATAAATATGACATGGCATTAAATTTTATGATAAAAATCCAAAAATAAATGCACATAAGCTAATATGGGTCATACCCATTTTAGATCTATTTATCCTTTAATGTGATTTGATACATAATCCAAATGAGTTTCGATAAAAAAAAAAATTAATTCCACATTAGGTTAAAATGATTATCCTATACTACAAAGTTTTGCCTTTTCTGTCACAGCACATTCATAATTATTCTATACTAAAATAATCTATGCTAGAAAATTCCTATCTTGTTTGTATGCCTCATCTGAGTCATTTTATAACTCTATTGAAGCTAAAATTACTACTGTATACAATAGTATTTTAAAATGACTCGGATAGGGTATACAAACAAAATAAGAATTTTCTAGCATAGATTATTTTAGTATAGAATAATTATGAATGACTCGGATGGGGCATACAAACAGAATAAGAATTTTCTAGCATAAATTATTTTAGTATAGAATAATTATGAATGTGCTGTGACAGAAAAGACAAAACTTTGTAGTATTGGATAATCATTTTAAACTAATGTGGAATTAATATTTTTTTTTATCGAAACTCATTTGTATTATGGATCAAATCACATTAAAGGATAAATGGATCTAAAATGGGTATGGCCCATATTAGCTTATGTGGCATTTATTTTTGGATTTTTATCATAAAATTTAATGCAATGTCATATTTATGGTAGGGGTTTGAGGCAAAATGACTTTTAAGTGACAAAAAATAGTTATATGACTTTAGTGAAATTGAAAGATAATTCCCATCAGTGAAATTAACCCCACGCTCTCGTATCTCGTATCTTTGGAGCTAATCTTAC